TAGAGCCCCTGCAATGAGAGCCAAGCCATCAGGAGAAGCCTGGTGAGATGCCAAGGGGCACAGCCAGGCAGCAGCTCATCCTTCAGAGCGAGCCTGTCCTGGCCTCCCATGGCCCCCCAGCATCACCAAACCTGACCCACAGCCACGTCCTGTGAGGACACCAGCCCTCACCTCCACGAAATAGTCTCCCACAATCTTTGCAGTCATCAGCACCAGCATGATGGGGAAGCCATAGGTGACGTTGCCTGTTGCCTCCATCATGATGACCGTGAGGCTCAGTGTCATCCGCACGATCCCACCTGCCAGAGGCACCCGGGGGAGTTGGGGTTCAGGAGGGCAGGAAAACATGGAGCAAGGGGACAGCAGAACACCTGAGGCCCCTGAATCCTGGTGACCCAGGACTGCCCACACAGCCAGGGGTGCCCTGGACAAGCCCAGCCCCCACTGGTGCCCCAGCACTGCCTGTGCTTGGCAGGGGCATTAGGAAGTTGACAGCCAGGTTGGGGCTTCAGCTGGGGAAGAAGCTGTGCCAGGAAAGCAGGGATTGCTTTTTCCCACGCCACCTTCACCCCAGACAAGACTATGCCATGGGGAACTCACCCAGCTGTGCAGCAGCTCCCATCAGGGCGTACTTCCCAGGGTCAGCCCAGATCTGAGCACAGGAGAGAGAAGGAGACCAGTCACCTGCTGGCTCCAGGGCACTGAAATAATGAGCAGTGCCCTGGGCCTCAAACCCTCCTCTGAAGTGGGGAGAGGTGCCTGAGGCTGCCTGCACGGCCCAGCTCCATCAGGGCTCCATCAGGATATGGGAAAGCCCAGACCCAGCTCATGAAGGCATCAAATGAGGAGCCAGCCCACTTCAGAGCCATGCCGAGCTCTTGGTCAGCTCCATGCCCTCTGCCTGCACATGCCACCTGCCCAGCAGCCAGGGAGGAGGGCTGAGTGACGCAACTCATGCCCCTCAACACCCCTGTACCCCCAGGACTCACCGAGCCCTTGGTCAGGTAGGACAGGGAGATGCCAAAGAGCCTCCCCCAGGCCGCGCCGATCAGCAGGGAGGGGATGAACACCCCTGCAGACACTGTCAGGCCATAGGTCCAGCAGGCCAGGAAGAAATACATCAGTGTGAACATGCCCAGAGTCATGGGGTTGTAGGAACCTGGGGTGGGGACAGAATGGGGAGTCAGTGCCAGTCCTGCAGTCCAGAGAACCCTGGGATGGTCTGTGGCTGTGGGAGGACAGACAGAGCAACCTCATGGCACACTCCCAGCAGTGAGAGTCCCTCTCACTGGGTTGTACCTTCTGCCCTGGCAGCACAAGCCTTTCAAACTGGTTCTTCAGGTTATTTCTGTCCTCTCCAGGGCCTCACCATCAGCTGGGGCCACGCCAAGCCCTCCCATCCCATTCCTCCATCTCTCGACCCATGATGACCCATCCCCTCCCAGCCCGGAGGTTCCCAGCCACCCATGAGTCAGCTTGACAAACTTCAGAGCCCTGAGGGACCATCAGTGCTGGAGGATGAGGTCAGGAAGAGAGAGGTCCCACTACCAGCTTTGGGATCAACTCCACAGAGCAGGTCCTGCAAACCCCCCCATCCTGCAGCTCCCACGGCTGCTCCAGCCAGTCCCAGGCTGCCCCACAGAACGGGCTGTGCCATCACAGTGAGACCCTGCTGACCCCACAACTTGGCCAGCTGCTATTTTAGGATTGCTGAGCAGCTCAGTCTAGTTTAAACAAGTATTTTGCAACCCCTCCTTCACAGAGAAGTCAACAGACTGAAGCCTTGAGCCAGGGATGACCCAGCCCTGCAGGGAGAAGCCCCAAGACAAAGGATGGTCATCTCTCGGCTTCAGGTGGCCAAGCTGCACCCTCTGGGCTGAGGATCTCTCTGCCCCCTGCCCATGTGCAGCTGGGCACAGAACTCAGAGCAGCAGGCAGAGGGCACACTGTGTTTACATCAGGTCCAAGGGAAATGGAGCTGGAACCTGAGAACCAAACTGCATTTCTCAAGTAAATCCAAACCCCAAGATCCACCTCCGCAACCTGCCCAGAAGGTAAAGTCATTCTGGGGCAAGAGGCCCTGCTAATTAAGAAAACAGCCAGCAACATTTCCAGAATGGACTTCAGACGGCCAGAGAGGGTCAGACATGCTCCCAGGCAACTCAGGAGCAACAGCCTGCAAACATGCATGAACAAAAACAGGGCCTTGTCCAGTCTCCTGAGGCCACAGCCCTTTGGCCAAGCTCCTAGGTGCCACCAGGAGTGGCACCCATCCCTCCTCCTTCCATTGCTGCAGGAAAGGAGCAGGCACAGTGTTTTGGGAAGCCCTCGTGGGGCCATACTGATCACCCTCTGCCTCATCCCAGGAGCGGCCAGGGAACAGGTCGGCCACCTTGCACAAACCAGTCCCTCCCTGCCCACATTCAAGGACCCCCTGGCTGGGCACACAGACCTGGAGGGTCATGGAAGAGGTTGACAACGCTCTTCTCAGGTGTGTTGAAGAAGGCAGTGGCCATGGAGTTGTACTCGCCATCGGCACAGAAAAGCTGAAAAGGCAAGGTAAGAGAGTTAGAAGTGGTTGCCCTGTGGCAGGGAGGGCTGCTCAGGGGAATGTGTGCCAGCTCTGGACAGTGAGGACACCTACACCACAACACCTAAACCATCTCTGGGTCTCCAGCTCTGCCTGCAGTGGAGGGTGTCATCTATGAGGTCCAGCACCCCAAAACCCAGCAGGGTCTTGTCTCCCTGCTCAGCCCAGACTCAGGGTGGTCCCCACCATGGATGCTGTTCTCCCACATATCCTACCTGCAGGGGATATGCCACGGAGCTCCCCTGGATGGGCTGGCAATCTCTTGAGCAGTAAATCATGACAAATCCCACAGTGGCTGTCACTGCTGCCACCAGCATGGCCTCGACCACCTGGAGGCAGGGCCGGTGGATGTACCTGCGAAGGGGACAGAGGAGTGAGGGTGGCACCCAGGGGTGTGGGCAGGATCACCCCCAGCCTGGCTTGGTACATCACATCAGGCATAGGGACAGGCTCTGCTCCCTTCCCAGAGCCTGCCAGTCTGTCCCGGGGTTTGGAAAGCTGGTGACAGGTATTGGCTGTGCCAGGCTGGGCTCAGGTGGCTTTATCAGCTCCTTCCATTCT